CCTCAGCCGGCTGCCCTCCCACTGGCTCAGCTGCCCCCCTACACCCACAGGCCCCTGCTCGGGCTCTGAATAAAGCCACTGCTAGGGTTCACATCTGGAACCGAATCGACAGCTCCTGGGACCCCAGGCCAGGCTGTGAAGATGACTGGGTCATGGGGCTCCTGGCTGCCTCGCTGTTAGGAGGTGGGGTCTGGCATGGAGAGCGGCCCCTGGGCGTGGCGGGGAAGGCATTATCAGCTCTCTGCTCCTCCTCCCTTCCCCGTGCTTCCCACCACTATGCCTGGAGCAGCTCTCCTCTGCCAGGCCCTTGTGCTGTGCTCTGCTGCCTTGGAGCCAGCCGACTTGGGACGGAAATGTGAGCCACGGTCAGCCTGTCCTCCTCTAATTGCGGGTGTCGGGGTCTGGCTCAGTGACGAGAAAGTAACCAAGACACCCACTGTCCTCTCGCGCAGCGCCTCCCTCCAGTACAGACCTGACTTCTCCGCTCCAGGCTGCTGCGCAGCCCCTCCACAGTGGCCCAGACCCTCGGTGCGAGTTGCCCCTTCCTGCTCCCTTCTGACCCCACCTGTCCCACCCACACCTCCTTAGTCCAGGTGTCCGCGTCCTCCTGGGCCAACTCCAGGAGCTGCAGCCGCACATTCCTTAGCTGAGTAGCCGAAGTAGAGCTGGCTGCCCCTCCTCGAGCTCCTGGGATCCCCACGCTCCCGGCCCACAGGACTCCCCTGGCTCTCCTGCCACCCCCTGCCAGCTCTTCTCTTCCAGTGAGGGGCCCTGGGCTGGCACCCGGCTGTGTCTCCCTCTCAGCCCACTCATGCCCTCCTCGGGGAGCCCAACCAAGCTCAGGGCTTTCAGTGCCATCTACTGGCTCACAAAGGCGCTACTCAGGCCCAGTCCTTCCCGGGAGCGCCAACTCCTACCCCCTGTGCCTGGCGTCCCCAGAAGTCCACTTAGCTGGGGCATGGTGCTTGGGCGGGCACAGCCTTCCCGGTTCAGTCCTGTGTTTCCCGGCAGCGATTCCCACCTCCCGCCCCACAGGTCTCCCCAGGTGCTCCTTGGCCAGACCGCCTGACTTCTCCCTTTCATGGCCCACGACCAATCTCAGCAAATTCTGTTCATTCTAAACCATCCAGAATCCAATTAAATGCTACCACCTCTCCTGCCACTTTGGTCCAAGACACAATCATCTCAGTTCATGACTGACTCCCTCATGTCCTTTCATACTGCTCAGTTTTTATCTTACTCTATCATGCATCAATGTGTAACCAATCCCACTCACAGTGCTCTTTTTCTCTTTACCACATAAGCAAATCTCTTTCCATACTACAGCGCTGTATGAACTTGTTTGTTCCCTATCTCTCCTGTCTTCTGTTGGTGGTCTAGTAACTATCATAGCATAACAAACCATTCCCAAACTTAGACTTACTCAACAACCTTTTACTTAGTAAGCCTTCTGTCTGCTCCTTGGGGCATCATCTCAAGTGACTACAGGGTAGAAGAATGGGCTGGAGGAATCTGAGAAGTCTTCTGCACACAGTGGGCAATTTGGGGCTGGCTGCCAACTGGGACCATGCATCAGAGTCTGAGGGAAGTGCCTCAGCTTCATTCCACATGGCTGTGCTTCCTCACTGCATCATGCCGGGGTCCTCGGCAGAAGCTGTATCACTTACTCTGACCCCGTCTCAAAGCAGTGCTCCTTGTGCTGTGTGCCACTGGCCAAGGCAGCCACTGCTCAGTCCTACCAAGTTTCTAGAATGGGGTATGTAGATGTCATCTCTTTATGGGGAGTGGATAGATTCTAGAAAAGCAAGCAGGAAAAGAAATATTGTCACCTTTGTTTAAGACAACAGTAGACAGTGTGCTAAAATTGGGTTCCCTCAAAACCCTAACTGGAAGAGTAGGCAGGGAAAGAGAAGTTTTTCAAATGAGGGTACAACTTTAGACGGAGGGAAGATTCAATCAGGTCCTACAGGAGAACTCTGGAGTATAATTCCTGCCTCAAGTCTGTCTCAGCGTGAGGTAGAGGAGCTAGGGTTTAGTAATATTGCACCCTCCCAAGGGAAGTGGGGAGTCAATTTTGTGCTTGCAGGTAAAGCAGCTCCAGGAGCCTGAGGAGCTGTACTTTGCAAGGGAGTCCTAAGGGTGTGGGCTGCAAGCAACAGGAACACACAGAGGCTGTGAAGGGCCCTGGAGAACCTGGATGGGGCACCAACCATGCCCACCACATCTTGCCCTGAAGGAAGCTTCTTAATGAAAAACATCTCATGCACCCACATATCTGGAGTGCCCATCTGAGTGCCAGTTTCACAGCAGGGGATCACTAAACTTAGTTGAACTGAATATCATCGTCATCAAAGGATATATTTATTTTCTTGCTTCTGCTTTTTGTGCCTTGCTGCTGAAGGTCTTCTACATCCAAGATAATGTAAGTTTGCTTGTAGCCTCTGATATTTATACAGTTGTGTTTCTTATGCTAACTTTATAATGCCCCTGGAGGTTTCTTCCCCTTCATGGTAACAGGTTGAGGTATAATCTACATGCAGTGAATGTAAAAATATTAAACTTATGGATATGTATACACCCACGTGGCCACCACCCAGACTGAAATAAGAACATTTCTATCACTCTAAAAAATTCTCTCTTGTACCTTTCCAATCAATCACAGGCTCCCCATTAGAGGTACATGCTATTCTGATTTTTGTCATGACGATATGAAAATAAATCCAAAGTCTCTGATTTAATAACAAAGTAACTGAAATAAATCAGGTACAAATCAGCTAGATTGTGTTCTTTTACATGAAGGCAAACAAAGCTTAAAACTAATTAGATTTGGACCACAAAACAAAGAGCAAAACAAGAAGAGCGAATAAAAGCCAAATGCGTCTGGAAAAGCCGAGGCAGCATGGGAAGTTTCTTGCTCCCCCTTTCCCACTGACCACCTGGAATCAGTCTGTGTGTGGTGGCAGAGTGGGGGTAAGGGTCACTTCTGTCCCTGACCCGGCACCCTGTGATGGAGAGGCCGCCCTGAACCCACAGCTGTAGTGCCCCGTTGGTCTCAAAAGAAGTGCCCTCCTATGTCAGGTCTGAGTCTGAGCTCTGCTTCCTGTCTGCATCGGGCACAGCTAAAACTGATACCACACTCTCTCAGTTGCACAAAATAAAAACCAAATGAAGATAAGGAAGTGACAACAAAATTGGACACAATTTAACATTTAGGGGGAAAAGGACAAGCTGGAATGTGGAACCTTAAAGACAGGAACAACAGAGCTAGATTATAAGGGGTCAGGTGTTCAAAGACCCTGTGCCTTAGGTTTTGAGATTCCTGCTTCTCAGGCCAGCCCCGTGGGCCAACTTGCTCTTCTCTGGATCTGAGGATTGGTCTGCAGTGTGTGTATCAAGGAAAAGCATTTATTGTCAGTACCAGGGACAATGAGGAATTTAATGTGGCCTCTCTTTGTGTTTCTCAGCACCAGGATTCCCTGGGTCTATTTTTTTTCTCTGCCTTTAGCCTGTCTCCTCCAAACCCAAGCCCAACCCCCACCCTTGCTCTGGTTGTCCCCACCTTGCTTCATGACCTAGGGATGCCACTGACGCAAGAGGCAGAAAGGCAGGGAAAGAGGGGAGAGGCAGATCCAGGGCTACTGGTTTTCTGTTACTAGTTTATGTTCATGATATATAATGGTTAACATTCGTTTTTGGGAATTGGTGCATATATATACCATATCTTGGTCATTTTTGGTGCCTTTATCCCCTCTCCACTCCCCTTTCCCTCTTCCCTTGACCCCTTTCCCCATCTCCAAAAAGTCTGCTTCCCTACCACCTCT